ATTTCCCCTGATACACAGAAAAGGGTGTTCTTCCGGATGCATTACAACATCGTAGCAACAGACCGGCATTACCCGCGCCTGACCTTATGAAAACATCTTTTCCCGCGACAGGCCTGTCAATGAAATCAACAAAACCATCTTTTTCGGGGTCAATGGCAACTTCAACAATATGAAGACGAAGAAGCCACATCAGTAAAGCATATATCATTCCGAACAACTTCGTTAGACATCAAGCAGTTGACTAGACTGCATACTGCACTATTTCCTGGATGATATTTAGCCGAGGGATTACGTAAAAGAGCTTTTTTAAAGGCTGCTGAACCCATGTTATTTTGTGTATCCAGTTTTTTCGCAAGGACGCCCACTACTCATTTATACAAATTAAGCTTTACTCGTCAGCAACATGATCGTATTTCAAAAAACTTACCATTCTCATTAAACAGAAGCTTGTTCATGACTAATTGTGGCCTGCTTCCGAACAATAAGAACTATTTCGTGAAGTCACGCATGTTCTAAGAGTTAGGTCATTAACTTTAGATGCATGCCATGTTGCAAAGGCAAAGTCGGCCGTAGAGGCACTTATTTGCCCACATTCATCCTGGGGAAGATTGAAATGAGCTCATCTCCGGTTGAAAGGTACGGGGCCTTTTCAGTAGACTTTCGATGGCCCAAGACAATACAACTACAACAACAACAACAACAACAACTACTACTACTACTACTATCACTACTACTACTGCTACTACTACTACTACTACTACTACTACTACTATTACTACTACTACTACTACTAAGACAAAATGCAGCAATTTACATACCGCATGACGCACAAGTCTCAACTTTGTAGACTGAGTGCACGTAACAAACATCCATGTGCACATGAATGCGCTCTACACCCCCCGCTCCCTTCTTGGCAAATGCCTGTCCCATGACCAGACTGTCAACTATCGTCAAGTGGACGAGCGCATCGTTTCACTAGAGATCAATGAGGAGCGGCTTTTTGCGAAACGCCCTCCACACACCCAGATGTCAGCGCCTAGCGAAACGCTGACATTCGCTTAACTCGTCTAAATGCAAGGGGACAATGGCGAACAGGCGATAGCAACGAAATTAACCCATGACAAGAGGACAGAATTGATAAATTGCGTATATATTAAACGTGGTCATGACTGTGGTTAGGTCGCCTAAACGTTTAAATCCTGGATACATGGAGAGATTATTCGCACGCCATTTAGTCCGGAGCGTGGTATAAACAGGCACCGTTGTCG